CAAGGCATCTGGTAATACATGTAGAATGCTAAAGGAAGACATTGGTGATACAGAACTTTACAATTTCAAGTAACATACTGTATATTTACATGCAAAATTTTTAATTAATTGTGCATCAAATAGCAGAAAGAGGAAACTAAGGGGCATTTTTGATTGCGATAAAAGGCTTTTTACTTCATTGCACGTCTTCTACGTCTGATAAATTGAAAAAATACGAGTGGTGAAAGTTTATGGATCAACAGGATTACTCTGAGGAGAGTGTTTGCTCATTGTGTCCAAAATAAAAAGGTCAAATTTTATGTGCAGAACAAGACCTAGACTTGTTTTTGTGTATCAAGAAATTGGAAAATCTAATTAAATTTAAAGTTCTGAATGCGCAAATTAATTTAATTTGAGTATAATTCAGTAACTCAGGGGAGGGTGGGGTGGGGGGTGGTGGGGGAGACAAAGGATGTATTTGTGATAGAAGATTAACTGTAGAGAAGGAAGTCTTCCTCTGTCTGGGGGCAATGGTCCCCCCGCTGAGAAATGGCCGAGGTGTGACGGAGGGGATTCCAGAGCACGCAACAAAAGGCAGGCACTTTGATTTGAAAAGCAGCGGTAGTCAGCAACACACACACACACACACACACACACACACACACACACACACACACACACACACACACACACACACACACACACACACACACACACACACGCACAAACCACAGTTCCTGATCCTCAGCAGCCCTGCCCTCAGGTCTCAGCCAGTTGAAAGACGGGGGAAACTCCAGATGCTTCACAGCAGTTGTGGGCTGTGACTTGGAAGAAGACAGGAGCAGTGGAAGACTGGCAGGCGGAGGACACTGATGGAGGGTTGGAGTTATGTATGGAGTGGAACAATTTAACAGCAGTGGCGGAGGCCTAAATTAATAGTAAAGCAATGGAGGGTTTTTTTGGCCTGAAGGAGTGTTTCACACAGAGCGGGAGGGCAGTGGCAGCGGCAGCAAAGGTGGACGGGTGGGGTGAAAGGAGTTTCCACAGACTCTCTATGATGGATGGACTAGTGAGGAAGAGAGGTGGGGGGCGTGGGGGAGAGGTGGGGGCTTCAAAAGAAAAATGACCCAGCCTGCTGCTGTGATGTAGTGGGAGGGAATGCAGGGCAGAGGAACATGTGGGGATCTCATAACGAAAAAAAAAGGTTTTGCAATCCCTCCAAGTGAGGCTGCCCAGAACACAGATACTCAGTGAAGATACAACACTGAACATGAAATAAATTGACTGTTTTCAGGCTTTTGTGAAATATGCTTTGGCTCAGATTTTTATTTCTTTTTTATTTTCAACACACCATTGTGAGGCAAATTGTGCAGCACTTTAATAATCAGTTTTGCCATATACCAGATAACTACGTGTGGGTCCATGGGGATGTCACTGGATACAATGCTGAGCTATTACACCTTTCAAGATGCCTCTGTGGCTTTAGTGGTAGGTATAAACCTTTTGACTGGGGTTAACTTCGGGGCTTTTAAAACATGATCCAGCCACACCCCCACCCCCCACCCCTCACTGCAGACAGACAGAAATGAAAACCTCTCCTTGTCACACACACCTACTTGCTCTCTGCTTCAGGGGCCTGCTAAAGCCATTATGACTCTAAAAGAGATAGTATCGGCTCAAGGCAGACAGACAAATAGTTAGTTAGACAGTTAGATATACAGACAGCAACCTGCAAACTAAGAAGCCTCTGTGCTCGGGACAGGCCGGCTAAATGTCTGGCTACTCTTCAGAGGCTCTCAGGTGTGACCGGCTGGTCTCCTGTGTACCGCAGCCAAGGCGGCAGACAGGCACAGAGGTGTTTCTGTGAGCCTGGAGTCGAGTGAATATCTGCTCTATCTCTCCCGTCACAGGCTGCATACGCTCCTGTGAGCAACTCAAACACAAGCCAGATCTTCTTTCCTGCAGAACTATGCAGGCTTTCACTGAGTTAATGCATATTTTTAGTCTGAGCCAAGGTCAAACATTTTGCCAAAGACCTGCCTCACACGTAATTTTTCCCAGCAGCTGCGGTTTCTAACATTTGATGACTAACTTTGCATTTTAATCAAAGACTTTAGCCAGACCACAAATGCATTGCATGAGGGTTTTAAGAGAGAATGATGGAGGCTTTGGTTCTTAGCTCAGTCATAGACATCTTTCTCGCTGCACTAACACATTGGTAGAGCCTGAACCCCACTGAAGAGGCCCTAATGTCCCCCTCCCTGAACATGCACACAGACACACACACACACTCACACACTCACACACTCACACACGCACACACAAGTCTTCCCTAAAATTGCTGATGGCTTGTTTTCATGGACATATATTATTTCCAGATGGAGGTCATGAATAAAACCCGACGGAAACAAGTCGGGTGAAACTGGAAACTTAAAAAAACAGAAATGGTGGGGTATGGAGCTGAGTAAAAAAAACAATCTTCCTCCTCCCCCGCTTGTTCCCTGAACCTTTCACAAAAGACCAACTTGTCAATTACACGGTTAAAAACAGAGGAGCACTGTACCACACATGAACATGAGGACAGTAATACCACATGATGGTTTTAAATGTTTCACCACGATGCAAACATGAAAACATACCTAAACAAAATATGACTCATAACTAACAAAACAAACAAGGAGAAAAAAGGGGGGCTCAGAGTCTTTTCAGCTTCCCAGCTAAATAAACAAAGTCAGGAAAGAAAGGGAATACTTTCAGACTCAACTGAGAATACAAAAACTGCACTGTGAAGACCTCCTCTGGAACAACCGCAGAACACGGTGCTGATTCACCAATCCCAGACTCTCCACCCATCCTGAATATGAAGAAAGATGCATTGTTGTGCTGTGAATATACACTGCATTCAACTGAATAACCTAATGAATCTATCTCTGCTCACATTAGTGATGTGTTTCAAAACATTTGAGCATGTGCAAGCTCTGCATGAAGCCAGAACATCCATTAGCTCTGTCAAAAAGATTGCCAAGACAAACCAGACGCCAGACATTTTCTTCTCCGAGCTGACGTGGAGGAGGATGAACCAGAGCTGTAAGTTTCAATAAATCAAAGCTTATCAGTTGAAGAAATTGAAAGGATGTGCTCTGTATTATCATGATATCGCTCCCATGTCTGTACGGTAATGAAACTACACCCAGCAGCCAGTTAGCTTAGCTTAGAACAAAGACAAAAACCTAGCTCAAAAAGGTAAAAAAAACAAATATAAACCACAAACCAGCATCTCTTAACCTCACTAACTAGTATGGTATATGTTTGTTTAATCTGTACAAAAATGTAAAAAGTGTCATGTAAAATTGACAGTTCACCATTTTACATGAAGTTATGTGCCACAATATTTCTTGGCAGGTACAGTATAAATTCCCCCTTAAACAGCATTACCTTGTGATAGAGTCAGGCTAGCATTTTGTTCCCCTTATTACCAGTCTGTGTGGTAGGTTAAAATAAGCTAGCTGTTGGCTATAGTTGTATATTCAGCAAGAAAATGACTCCCAAAAAAATCCCAAAACTGTGCTTTCAGTGTAAATAACCAAGTGTTTCCAGTCTTGCTAAACTAAGCTAATCGGCTGTTAACGGTAGCCTCATGGTATCAATCTTCTCATCTAAATGTTGGTAAGAAAGCAAATACATTTCCCAAACTATTCCTTTGCTTTTTTGTTGCTCACATTTTTGTGGCCATCTGCAGTTCTTTTAGTCAGGTTTTAAGTCTATTTACTGTAACACAGATAAAACACACACTTATGTGGGGGATTATATCCCCTCCCCATGCAACCAGTTCTTCTACTCAGTCCTGCTGTGTTGGTCCAGTGAGTTGGTTTGCTCTTATCTAATCTGACTCAGACTCCTTATCTCCATAATCAGACTCTAATCAGCCAGCTTTGTCCAGACAAAAAGGGGCCAACATGAGGCAAAGAGGATCCTGAGGCCTCCCCGGTGTCTCAGCCGTAAAAGTGTAATTTGTAGACAGGACATGTCCTTTCAAGTCAGTGGTAGTGGTATGGCTGAATGGTAAAGGAATCACCACAAAACAATCTGGAATCTGCAGTATCTATGTCTTGTTTTTCTTTCTGATTACTGGTTGTGTTTCTCCAGCTAGATGTTGGATAATTTCAACATCAATAGATGTTATGTTATTAGAATTATTGAGAATTTAAACATTTTAAGATTTTTATTGACCAAAATTGAGCATCAAGATGAAAGTTTTAAAAAATGTTTTCTCTTTGCAACTGCAACAGGAAATATGTGAAGAGTGGGGGATGATATGTTACAGAAACCTCTGGCTTGTTTCAGGACATCGCAGGTATGTGGTCTGCTCTTTCTCTCCTGTCAGAAACCCTGTGGCTGATGAATCTTGATGCTACAAATCCTTCAGTCTGCCACCCTGCAGTCCTGCCATTATCAGAACCTCACCAGGTTCCTCCTGGCAGGCACAGATGGCAAGTCCATTCGTGTGCAAACCGCAGATTCAGCTCTGATTGTCCTGCTGACTGTCTTTGTCTTACAGTATCACCGCCTCTCTCACCATGAGAAAGGGCTGGTAAGTAAGCTAATTTACATGTATTAATTAAGGCTCATAATGAGCCCAGCATGACAAGGCATTTGAATGCATTCCTCTGGTATTGTGCAAACTCTGCGGAGCTCTGTAGGTTTGCAGTCTCACCCATTCAGATGGGCTACAGATTGTAGATGTGGGGGCACACGATCAGATAAAGGACTTAAACACACACAAAACCAGGTCAGTATACACATGCAAGTTTCACCTCCCCCACTGGCGCCCACACACACACACACACACACACACACACACACACACACACACACACACACACACACACAAGGTGCTAAAGAGAAATAAACAGCTATTAGTTATAGTTACACTTAAATAAAATAAAAATGCAAATAACTACCACAGCAAAAAGTAGAAACAATACATTTATATAATTACAAATTGTAAAACTGTACAGGTACAATTAGTGAAGTATAAAAAAAACACTGAAGTGAATAATTTTTCATTGAAAATAAAAGTTTCACCCACAAGGTGCACGTACGCTATAATGCACAATCATGTAAGAACAATTACATTTCATTTGATCATATAAATATTTAAGAACTAAGCAGGATAAACTACGTTTACGTAAGTGTGTAAAAACAGACTGCTCTGGAATGGTTTTAATCATCTTTGCTCATTGTTGATGTGTAAATGCTTACATGGTTGTTGCCATCTCATACCACAGCGCAGCTAAGCCAGGGAACCGTGAAAAAACAGCCGCAACCTCAGCGCATTAACATCAAAGTGTATTTCTATAAGAGCTTGTTTTCTTTTCTCGTCCTCGGGCTTCAAACGCTGAGCTGCAGTGGCTGTTCTCATTACCTCTTTGGCTTAAAAATCCTACAACGGGGACGCGGCCTCACAACGAAAGCCAACACACACACATGGCAAATAAAGACAAGGTAGAAAAAAAACATGTCAAGGGCACAAGGCTCTCCCTCCTTAATTGTACCTGAAGGGAAATCCCTTTAAATAGTAGTTGGCAGAGGCAGTGAGCTGGCAGGCAGATCAAACAGTCACTGAGCAGAAGCCCTATAAATACATCACATTCACTTGCCTCACTTCAAACGCCTCCTCCTCAGCCCCTGCGCTCCTCCTGTGAACCCACAGAGCTGAGCTACGTTCAACATGTTCACGAGGAGGACTCAGTTTCTGATCTTAAGCGCAACATTTTGCTTTGCTTCACATCACCGGCTGTGCGTTCTCTCTCATCCCACTCCACAGTAACTCCAACTCGATATAAACAGGACTGCTCTGTTTGTTCCTCACGTCACACTGTAGACGTTTCAGGAGCTTTGGTTTTCTTCACATACACCTCTGATGTCCCATCAGGCACCAGATGACTGAAGCTGCTTCTGAAAGAGGCCAGGAGGCGACCTGCAAAGCACGGAAAAAGAAAGAGAGAGAGAGAGAGAGAGAGAGAGAGAGGAAAAGAGGCATGTTTAACACGTTGGCAACTTAGATAAAGTAACATGTTCTGGCTTGATATCCTTAATATCTGTGTACATTTCAAAATTTAAAAGCTTCATCAAGAGATTGACGAACTAGTGGCCGGGCCCAGTATGTTCACCCAGCAGTCTCAGTCATGTGACAAACATGATTTAATTGCTAATTATACATACTTATTATAGAACATTCTCAGTATTGTAGTAAAGACTTAGCCGTTTGATGAGAAAAAACTGACAAACTTTTGGATGAGATGACAGAGCATAAGAAAGAAAATCCATTAATCTGTAGCTTTACGAACCCGTCCACGTCTTCTGTCCGGTCAGAGTGAAGCTGTTGCACTGAGAATGGGAGTTACAGATGTACGCAGCCTCTCTGGCGCTGTGAACCGACAGCACGCAGCCCTGCTGGCTGTAGGACGGCCAGCAGCTGTACTCCACGTTCCCAGAGGTCCCCATACCTCGCATCACGGTGTAATCTAACCACAGAAGACAAGATGCCACTTCAGTACACGAGGCTAGTGAAAGATTTTGAAGTGCTCTCTGAGGATAAGATGAAAGTTTAATGATCCCTGCGCAGCAAGAAGAGAATACAGATACGGACATGAAGAACAACAACAAAGAAAACATGCTGAAGGTATTTGTCATGCAACCAGAGAGCTCCTACTGACTCAGAGGGATTACTATGGTTATGATTGACAGATTTAAAGTAAAAAGATACACCACTAGGATAATAAATCACAAGACACAGTCTTCATTGAGAACGTGAGTGTGTGTCCTGACAAAATGTATATATATATATATATATATATATATATATATATGTATATATATATATATATGTATAATGCTTTTAAGAAAATATTTAGTTACACAAAAAAAAATTTCCTACAAAATATTTTCCAACATTTTATGCATGTAAATATTGACAAGGTAACACAAAATGTATGATGACCATGAACATTTAGATTTACCTTTAATTTTTGTTGCCAGTTTTAGTCTTTGCCAGTTTTTCTTTCACAAGAACCAAAGAAAAGCAGCAAACCCTCAACTGAGAGGCTTGAACCACAAAACCTTTGGCACTGTGCTTGAAAAAAGCCAAAATATAAAATAGTTGCTGCCAATCTAGTAAGCAACTAATTGTTTCAGCAATGCCAAACACACTTTTTCTTTGTTAATAAACCAGAACCTTGAACATCTATTCTGGTCTTTGTAAAAAGAGAAAACTGTTGCTCTGCCTTAAAAAAAAAAAAAAAAAATCACTTCACCTTCCTCCTGCCCAACATTTGTGTTACATTCATCATTATAATTCTTTCAGTCAGACTTCTTGTGGATCTGGCCTTAAATCATCTGCTACACATTAGCAGGAGCAGAAAGAAGCATGCACACACACATGCCTACATGCAGACACACAAGCATGCACCTACGCACACACGCACACACACACACACATACATAAGCACACACACACACACACACACACACACACACACATGTACACACACACACCAGAAATGGACAAAAGCCTGGTCTGTGAGTCCGTATGGAGGAGGCACACTGTTACAAACTGTTAACCTTCCTAAATGGCAGGAGCTGGTGTGTGTGTGTAGGGGTATTGTTAAGAGGAAAAAGACACGAGGATCTGCCTTCTGGGTCTGAGAAGAGGGAACAAGGAGAAGGAGTATTTTCGAGGATCCTTCTCAGGGGAGAAAAAAAATGAGGCCTGCCGGGGAGCTGAAGGGTGGCAGGCCTCAAATGTTGAGGACAAAGAGACATATGAATATATGCTCTGTGTTCAAGTTGAACAGTGGGAAACAGTGTTGCTTTCATGTTGATATATTAAACTTATTTATATTTACTACAGTGCTCAGGGCCTAAATAAATTCACTCCTTGCTTTTTAGAACACAACTAAATTTATACTTGCAGAAACAGCCGTTTTAAGAAACTATCTTAACCAGATTCTGGCTTCCTTCATCAAATCACAAATGATGTCAGCTGTGGAAAAGTTACATCCACATAACCAATGAATCTCCATCTGTCAGCAATTTCAAATTAAGACTTGGGATGTGATCAGCATCTTTTTTTCTACACACATGCACATTCACGTTATTACACTGTGTTCCTCTTTGAGCTCTGTTGCCATTTGGCTTCTTTTATCAGGCTTTATGTTTGTGTCCTTGGCTGCAATTCTAATTTTTTTCTCTTGTGAGGAGACATGTTAATGAGCCCATGTGTTTTTTAATATACAATTGCAGGATCTTTTGATTTTTTTTCCTTCTCTGGTTGTTTAATAGTTTCACATTCAGAGAAATATGCTCCTTTACTTTTTTGCTGCGTGTTAGACAAGAATATCAAACCACCCTATTAGCTGTCTAGTAAATATACGGCTAAAATTACCACACGGCTAGCTTAGCTAAACACAAAGACTAGAGACATGAGTAAACAGCTAGTCTGGCTCTGTCCGAAGGTAACAAAAATCCACCTACCAACACCTTTAAAGTTCACTAATGAACATATCACCTCTGGTTTGTTTAAACTGAACAAAAGCATAAGTGTAAAAATGAAAGTTTTATAGGGTGTTAACATACCTGACTATTTCTTGGTGTGGAGCAATCTAGTCTATAATGTGATTTAGCTAACCAGCTGCTACTTTTAGCCGTATATTTACCAAACACTTTATGAGAGTGGTTATCTTATCTAACTCTTGGCAAGAATGTGAATAAGTATAAATATGTCAAACTAAAAACAAACAAAACAAAATGAGACGAGGTTAAATTAAGCTGAACTAAAAATGTTAGCTTACTGTAAAAACTCAAAATGGGGTAATAGCAGAACAGGCCATCTAAATATGACAAAATCTACCCCACTTATTAACGTGATGTATCTTGTTTGTTTAATCTGTATAAAATCTGAAGTGTACAAATGAGAATTTGTGGTTATGCTTGGCTAGTAGCAGTAACCTCCTAAAGTCTTGTCATCAACCAGTAGAACCTTTTAAACAAACAAGATATAACATATACATCATATTTTTACCCTCTGGACAGAGTCAAGCTAGCCGTTTCCCCGTTTCCATTCGGCGTGATAAATTAAACTAACTGGCTGCTAGCTACTTACCAGACAAACACTGTGTGAAAGTATCAATCTAAAAAGTGAATAAGTGTATTTTTCCCAATATGTCAAACTATAAACTAAGCTTAACTAAATTAAACTAAACTAGGTTTATCTAAACTAAACAAAAACGTGACCAGGTTTGTCCTCGACCCAAACCCTACCTTTGTTTTAGCAATAGAATTTAAACAAATTATTTTAGGTCTTATCACGCACACTCAGCAGCAGCAGCAGGGTTGGCTCATGGCACCTCCTTGTTAAGCTAAAACACTCCCTCCCGGTGTCAGCTTCAGCGCCCAGGCCTCTTTACCCTGAATCTGTGATTAAATTCACAAAGCGCTGCTATATAAACAGTCCAGCATCTGGGGGACGGAAAAATCTCACCACAGGAACGCAGGCCAGTCATTCTGTTATTAATATTTCATAGAGCTGAGAGGAACGGCGGGAGGGGCGAGGGGGCTGCAGTGGAGGGAGTGGAGGCGAGTTGGAGAGAAGAAAAGTGAAGGACTTTTGGTGCTTATACTGAAAGTATACAAAAGTGGCATGGAAAGTTTGCAAAGAATTACTTTATATGACCATTTGGAAAGGAAAAAAAAAACAGTAACCAGAGTTTTTTTTTTTAGATAGGGAATTCAAAAGCAGGACAAAACATTTTATATATAACTATCCTTAAAAGGCAAAAGACCTAAATAAAACATTTCTTATGTAAAGAATAACTTGATGTAATCCCAGCACTGTTTTGTTAAATGAACGCCGACTGTGCTTTCTGAGCCAGAGACATGCAGGATTAATCCCACTTTGTTGGTCTTGTCCTGTCATTCCAGCTGCCTAATAAACCTGTCAAAACAGCCTGAATGGGAGAAACACCGCCCCACCCCCCCTTCATTTTTTTAAAGATACAAAATGAAGGTGGTTTTGGCTGTCTGAGTTTTCTCTAAGAGTGAATCAAAAAGGAGGCCAAGCATTCTCTCCAAGAAAAAAAGGTCTACATGAGGGCCCACTGTACTTAATAAAAAAGCAGCCTTCATTCCAGTCTCCAGCCTTCTTACCTCTGATTATTGATGGAGGCAGGTTGTCCAGGTGCAGGCCAGACTTGTAGAGGAGGAGGATGTGTTCAAAGGCCTCCAGCGTCTGATTGATGTCAGCTTTCAGCTCGCCTGGACACACACAATGCATTAAGTCTGGTAAAAGATCTAACTGGCTACAGGCATAAAATCATCCAATATAGATGATTTGTGTTTTTCCCCACTATGCTCTCCCCTCTAATCCTAGTTGTGTGATCTCAACAGAACTTGTATACACTACTGTGTTACATGTCGTGAAGCATTTTGTCGAGCTCATTAAAAGAAGCACTTAAACCGAGACATGTCATTACACGACTCCAATAATGGAATGATTTGCTTTCTGATCTCCAATAGTTAGTGTCCCGTCATGTCAAGACGTCTCTTGTCCTCACCTGTGGAGTTCATGATGTGGTCTACCAGGTGTGTGAGGCCGGGCGGGGCTTGGTGAGGCAGCAGGTAGGTGAAAAAATACCTGGGGCCAGGCAGAGACAACTCATTCAGATAGACAGAAAGACAGACAAGTCCCATCACATAGTTCCCACAGAACATGACTTGTCTCACATTGGTGTTAAAACAAATAGTCCATAAAGCTGTCAAAAATCTGAAGGCCTTTTAAAAAGGGGAAATGCACCTTTTTTTCCCACTGGCGCTACCAATATTTATCACATCTCCTCCATTAAGCCACAGATTTTTCAGCTATATTTCTTTACTATCAACAACATTTTAGGTGTCAGCTGAGCCTGTATTTAAGCAATCATTCATGTAGCTGCTGCTCCCTCCATCCATCACATGTCTATCATGTAGTAAAACTGTCACTTTTCTTACCTATAGGCGTTGTAAATGTTCCTCTTCTCATTCAAGCCCTCGCACACTCCCCGATATGAGCAGGGCAGAGTGAAATTTCTGTGCGGAAACTGTAGGGTGCAGTCTGCATCAGTCTGACAGGGGGTCTCCTCGGCGCTGGCGTCATCCAGGTCCGTGAGCTTCAGCTCGCCGGACACGGTGACAAACTGCCGGGGCTGGAAGTCCAGCAGAGCTACAGAGCCCAGAGGAGACTGGGAGAGGAAGTGGAGGAGCCTGACCAGGTCCAGACACACCTGGGAGGAGATCAGACATGCCAAAACCAGATCAGTTGGATTGATGACAGTTTGTTTAAGTGCACAGAAATGCAGTCGAGGAATAACATACTGTTCTGTGACTCCAAAAACATTGTAACTAGGGCTGAGACAATCAATCAGTCAACAGAAAATGTATCTGCAACAATTCAGATAACCAATGAGTTGTAATTTAGTAAGCGAAAGAGCAAAACATTCACTGTTTACAGCTCTATAGTGTGAGAATTTTCCTTTTTCTTTTTTTTGATCATCCTTGACAATTCCCTTCTGAATTAATCACTTGGGCCATAAAATACATAATAAATATAACTCCCATCATGATTTCCTGAAGCCCTAGTAGACATATTTAAACAGCTTATTTTGTCCAACCAACCCAAAATATTCAGTTTACAAAGATACAAGACAAAGAAAACCAGCAAAAATTGAGCTGAAATCAGTGTTTTGTTTTGTTTTTTGCAATTTTGCTGAGAAAGTGAAAAGTGTTATCCCATTATCAAAATAGTTTCTAATTTATTTTTTGTCAATCTTAATGAAACCTTCTTAATGAAAATAATGGTTAGTTACAGCTGTAGCTCCAAAGTTGGGTTTGGTTTTCCTGGTTACTACAGGGTGATCTGATTTAAATAAAAAGCTTTTAAAAATGTTGGACAAAGAAAAACATTTCCTCGTGCTCAAGCTAAAAACTGAAGGTGACACGCTGGACAATATAATTAAGTTTCATGATCTAGCTAAAAATGGTAAAATATAATCTTGCAAAAAACACAGTGTTATTTACTTTTAAGACATTTCACCAACCACATTTGCAAGCCATTTCCTGAGACTGTTTTTATAGTACTCTTTAAATCCCATAATAAAAACAGAAAGAGAAAATAAGTAGGCCACTAAAGGCAAAATAAAGGCATTAGCCACGCACTGACAGAGCGTGAAATGATTCTGTCACACTGCAAACATAGCTGCAGTGTTAGGTAATGCGAGTCTATTGGACGTCACTTGGTGGGATCGAAGCACTGTAAAAACAGGGCTGGGTGAAACCAAACACCCCTGGATTACTGTAGTCTGCGCAGATGCAACGTAGCTGAAAGGGGCTGAGCAGCTTTTTTTTGGGGGGGGGGGGGGGGGGTATTATGAACGGCTGTTTGAGTGATGTTGCAAAATGAGGCCCACAGTTGAGATGATACTTGCAGACTGTGATGCTAGTTTTGGTAATCCGAGTCCAAAACATGCAAACTCTGACATTTTTATTTCGTTCTTCCACTCAGTTCTTTCTTTCTCTTTCAAACACATCCATGCACATCCATGACTTCAGACACTGATTAACTTACACTGTTTAGCTGTCCAGCATGGCAAACACACACACACACACACACACACACACACACACACACACACACACACACACACACACACTTGAATTCAGCCTCTGTTGACTCCCACTGTGAGCATACCTGTGATGGGGGTTGAGCTGAAGCTGTGTGTGTGTGTGTGAGTGTGTGAGTGAGTGAGAGGAGATGACATTCCTAGCCTCCAGTGGATTAACTCCAGGACCCCTCTCCATTTCAACCAGGGCCTGATCAAATACACTGAGGGACAGATGTCAGACCTCCAGGAGTTTCAAATGTCCGCCTCCCCTCATCTTTCAGCCTTCGTCTTTCCTACCGAGAAGAAACGAGGTCTTGCACATTCATTACGTGCAATGCGTGTGAGAGTGTGTGCAGTATAAACGACAGCGGGTGTATTGAGAGCTAAAGAGCGGGAGCTAATGTGCTTACCCTGAATCTGTCCTCCCAGGGGCTCTGGAGCAGCTGGATCATCTGGAGAGGATTCCCCTGCTCCAGAATGACTGTGACTCTTCCTCTCTCTGCTCCTCTTCCTCCCTGGCCTCTTGCATCTCCTGCACAATGACCCTTGAGCTGTTGAGTGGAGAATAACTGTGGTTAGTCACAGTAAAATAGCGCAAGTGTTGGTGATTCAAAGAAAAAAATGGATAATGACCCTACTCTTTGTGGGTTTTTTTTCTTTTTCTTTTTTTGCATTTAACTCTACAGACATTGAATAAAGCAACAGGCTAAAGTGTCCAAAAGTTGTGAGTGAGGGGGTAAATTGAGAGGACATGATGTTCTGCCAGCCTTACTCCCTGCAGCTCAGACTTGTGACAATAAAATCACATTATAGCCTACAGGGGAATGTGCTCTGTACATTTGTGAGCTGGATCGAGCGGCCGGACACACCGCTGTCACACGACTGCTGGATGTGAGAAACAAACCCATCCGTTTAGTTTAAACTAGTTCTAAATTGGGCTGTAATGGTTTGAGTGAATAAGCGCTGGGGGGTTTCAGATGCAACCAGGGATAGCAGAGAGGACAGAGGCACATTGTCAGCTCTTGCCAAACTGGACCCAAAGGTCAGTAGAGGGTCAGTGAATTTAATTTAATTACATGGGAAGGTCCTGCAGAGCCAATGAGGCCTTTCTTTCAGTTCGCTGTGTGTGAGACAAAGGAAAATGTGAGCAGTGGTGCATGGATTATGGAGAATCTTGATAATCTTCCTTCAGTGTTTCCAGTGTTTGGAAGTGGGCAGCAGCTTCTGATGCCACACACCTTCCTTAAGTTTGAAATAAAATATATTGTCTTTAATGTTGTGTTAGTATTTGAACACTGACTTTACTTTTTAATGGATAAAAGGTTAGAAATGGATGCACACAAAGCGGAGAGAGGTGCAGACACTTTACCTTTATGACGTTTGGATGCTGCAGCCTCTGCAACAGGACTATTTCTTTCTTCAGCTTGTAGGAAACGAGCTCGCGGCAACCTTGTGGGTCTTTAAAATCCTCCAAACACTTGCTCATATCTATCCCCTGCTCGTTGACCAGTTTTAAAGCCACGGGCTGACCTCCGGCTAGATTCACTTTGACAACCAGCTTGGTGTATCCAGACCCGAGGACCTCCATCGCCTGCATGTCCACCAGAGACTCACAACCCATTTCATCCATATGCGCTTTCCTGGAGCCGTTCGTGATCTCATTCCACAGATTATAATCCAAAGGTGAGTATAGTTGGGGAGAAAGTCGAGTTCCCTCCGACAGTCCGTTTTCATCATCGTCATCATCATCATCACCATCGGGCAAAAGCAGCGGGATAATTTCTTTGCGCCTCTCGTTGAGTTGGTAAATCAACGCCCCGCGGAGCGACGCGAACTCCTGCTCATCCACCGCAAGAGTTGCGTTAGAAAAGTGCGATACTCCAAACTGCTGCACGCTGCTGATCAAGAGTGACACCAGAATAGAGAGAACCACGAAAGCCAGGAGGGCAGCCGCGCGTAAAGAGTTGCCCATCTCGGGCATTTCGCCGTCTCTCTCTCTCTCTCTCTCTCTCTCTCTCTCGTGGCACGGATACTGTTGCTGCAGGAAAGGACGCGCACAGCCGCGGGCTCCGGCCACCGCTCGCTCCGAGTGAAAGGACTCCTCCTGACTTTTCTGCAGGAGAAGTGATCAGCTCCTTGTTTCCACCTCCCCGGGAACTCCCTCTAGAGGTGTGTCCTGCGCCGCTCGTAACTTTACACCCGCTGAACAACTTTGCAGGAGAGCTCGACCTCATGTTGTCAACTCAGTCAGTCAGACAGTCCGCGTGTTGAAGCGCCTCCCGCAGCTGATTTGACAACAACAATCAGACGCTGAGGCTGTTGTGTTTGAAGAAAATCTTCTGCCGGACAAGAAACTACATGTTCTACTGAACACATGCACACTAAAAGGAAAAACAAACAAACAATGAAGTTAGAAATTAAATCTGTACTTAAAATTTGATTAAAAATGTAAACCTAAATTGATTTAATTGAATATATAAGACAATTATGTAGTTATAAAGAGTTAAAACGTGTGTTCATATAGAGCTGTATATTTTACAGTATGAGGGAGAAAGAGGGAAGAGGGTGACTGCGGTCACCTCCACAATGTGTCCAACAGGTGGCGGCAAAACACCCTTTTTGTTTCTATGATACAACATCCCATTGAGAGACAGATTTCTTAGTCACCAGGAGCTTTATCAATCCAATCAAAATAACACATCAGATCTATACAAGCCCACAAAAACACAAAGGTTTTCCTCTTTGTTTCCACACAGTCTTTTATGGCGGAGATCTTGTTGCATCTCCACTTATCCAACTGTATTTGTTGCACAGATCTGGAGGCAGCGTTGAAGCTGTAATGAAGCGTTTCCCAGAAATCTGCCACAGGAAATTACCATGGCTGTCACCTCAGCACCAGCCAAAAGCCAAACCCCAGTCTTCTCAGCCTCTCATTGTGTGTGTGTGTGTGTGTGTGTGTGTGTACACATATGTGTGCGTGTGCTTGTGTGTGTGGTATCCTGTAGACTATGTGCCTGTCAGGCTTCGGGTACGTGTGTGTTTGCAGTGTTTGCATGTTTTTTTTCTTGTGTGTGTGTGTGTGTGTGTGTGTGTGTGTGTGTTTGCCATGTTGGACAGCTAAACAGTGTAAGTTAATCAGTGTCTGAAGTCAACAAGACATTAGCCACGTCAGCTGCAACACAGGCTGTTCAGAAAACGACATGCCAGCCACCAGCACAGCAGGCCTTTGTTGAATACAAAAAGACTTGAGCTGGAAGATAGTAGAGAAAGTCCTTAACAAATCAGATCGCCCTGTAGCTTTGACTGATTCACTCTCTCATCTAAAGCTTTGAATCTGTCAGCTTAGATGTTTACTCCACCTATAAGGATGAATCAGTTTTGAATGTCATAACTCACTGAAGCCCTAATATATATATAAATGAGGCTACATCAGTGAGATAAAAATAAAGATATCCTCCACCACTGTCTCTGCTTCTTATTTCAAATAGGACTTTAATCTCTCCTACAAAACTTTCTCACACCCTCCTTTTCCTGATCTCTGCCTTTCCTCCAATAAATCACTTCCTTCTTTTCCAGCGTGGCCCTCAGAGACGAGGGCCCAGTGCCATGATTCATATTTATAACCAGAGCCAGACCAGCGGCCGCCTCATTAGCAGCGAGTCACACTGGTCTGCTGTGTCGGTTTCTCCTTTCTTTTGAGCTGCTCGGCCTTGGCTTTCTTTCATACTTCTCTTATTAATAAGTTGCCCAAAGTCACGTTCTTCCTTCTTTCTTCCTCTGTTCTCTTCTCGTCTTACTTTGTTGCTTCATTATGTAAAATCTAGAGCAATTTCTAAACCCACTAAAGCTCAGTTTACCCTGATTTTTTCTTCAGAAACAGTAGAACTATTTTTTCTTGGCCATTGCAAATCAGTACCATACTGACATAATAAAAAAAGAAGTAGTTTATAGTATCATAAAATTGATCTTCCTTTTGCACAATCCACATCTCAACCAGCTCAAAGCTTGAAAAGGATTTGTGTGAGTCTCTTTATCTGCAGAGGACGGTAACAAATTAAAGAGGATTTAGAGATACTGCTTAAGGATCTCCATGTTTTCCCTCTTTATAATTGTACTCCAACACATTTAATCAAGAAATGTATTTTATGGCTGTAGGATTGTTCACTCTGCATGTGAAACACAAGCTATAATCTCATAAATATGAGAAAGAATTAGTGAAGTATGCTGTACTACTTTTTGATAAGGCACCCCTCATAGAGAGCTTATAAATTGTAACAGATTATGTTATTAATGGTTAATGAAGAAACATAAGTAGCAAATACATGTAAGTATCAAACTTGGGCCTAAAAGCATTCCTCAGCCAGGTTTCTTTGCATTGTCATCGCTGTACAGTAACAAAGAAGAAGCATTTTGATGTTGTAGCCAGTCCAAGTGATGTTAATTCCATTTGTTTATAATAAAACACCATTCATAAAGCTGTAGACATTAAGTTGTAAATACAGTGGCTTTATTAATGGATAATAAATCATTTACTCTTGCCTTATAGATCAATCATGAGGTATTGATAAGAGCAGCGTTTGGGTTGCCAGGTTGTGAAAAATCCATATGTCTGGTGTTTAACTTTTCTGTTTGGTAGTAATAATGTTAGTTAATGTTAGCTAGTCTGCAAATAAGAAATGTCAGTGGGTCATTAATAAAGGTAACATATCTGCAGCTGCACATGGTAATGAAAGGCTTCTGGTGTATAAAGCGTCAAATCAGTTCAACCGCTAAAAGGAATTTTTCACAACCTGGCAATTATTAATGGCTTATAATTTATTAATCATCATTAGAAACAACAGTATGAAAGATAGACTTTAAAAATGTTACTATAATGAAACAAAGGTAAAATGGAGAACGCTTAAGACAACTTTCAGGCTCTATTTGTGACACTTGGGTGGATTCACCATTTATATTTAAATGAAAGCTTAAATAAAAACACTTGTTCTTGTAGCCTAATGGGAGTGTTGTTTGAGCCTTTGTTCAGTGTAGGAATCTAATACGGATTATCTCAGCCTCTCTTTTAGTGATTGGCTGATTGGTGTAGATTTAAATACAAGAAATTGATTGGGGGATAGTGGCTTTTACCTGAATTCACCTCATCAGCAGTGACATGTCGCACATTCACAATATTCAGTGCCTCGGTGGTGATCAGCAGCTGGAGGTCCCAGTTAATTTATTGTTTAATTGAACCCAGCATCACTGCCTGTGCACCTTCCTAACGTACATTAAACAGCAGCTGTAGCTCCTGTCCGAGTCAGTTGAACAGGCACTGATGCCCACTATCCGTCACTTTGAGCTCCAGCACCGCGGCCGGTTGGACAGCGACCAGTGAGCGTCCTCCTCAGCATCACCGCGGCTCCGCCAATCAGAGCGCAGCTCGGGGCAGATTAACCCAAGCAGCCCCGGTGCTGCTGTGTAGTAGCAACCTCAGACACAAGCCCTTGCCTCCGATCCTCGTGGACCCAGTCTGGGCAGATGGGGGATTGTTTGGGTTAACCCAGGTCAAAATAACAGGAAATTCATAATTGCCTCTTTTGAAATTTAGTTTTAGTTTTCAAAGGCGAAACAGGAGGGAGATGGATGCTCGCTCGATAATAGGAGAAAGCACGGATGCGATAGTGATGGATGATTCTCCCACAGATGAAAGGGATATTCAGGAGGCTTGCCAAAGGTAGGTTGTGTTTTTTTTTTGTCTCAGGATCTTTCTGTAGCTTATTGGGGAACTTGATTAGTGGAGTAAAAAAATAAAAGAGATTTACAGTGAGTAGACGTGGATGTGTTTTTACCCTCCTGTGGCCGTTGTGAGTATTGTTCAATGACACTCAATCCAGCTGTGTTTCTGCTGTGGACAATAAGATTATGTGCAGGATATGATTTCTGCTCTTGTTATTTTTCCATAACAGTATCATAATTGTTTTCTCAGGATCACTGACTTCTGATTATGTTGCTGTGTTTGTGCTGTTGAAACCAAAAGATGCACATGCGCTGTTGTCAACTTACTTTTCACAATTTATGTTTGGTAATCACAAAATTTACATGTTTCGTATTATCTTCTTTAATTTACAATCATAAGAAGGATTTTATCTCCTTTTTTTTCTTTTTTTTTCTTTAAAGATATACAGTATGCAGTAATACATAAACTCTGTTTCACACTCACACTGCAGTTGACTCAAGGACTGTGAGGTCTGTTGTGTCATCAGCCTCCTGCTTCGGTCACACCGGCTCTCTGGGTCACTGCTGTCACCCTGTCACTCACTCCATGCAGCAGCCCTACATATATATATATATATATATAAAGAAAATCAAATGGCCGAGAGGCTTCAAACATGAAATTGGGGCTGGAAACAGCTGAGGCCTGCCACTCTTTAGTTCAACAACAGGCCACATTTGTGCCCCTCCAAGAAGGGTCCTCTCTGCAGATCCTCAAGCCCTTTTCCTCTAATAATACCCCCTCACAGGAGCAGCTCAGGCTTTATAAGAAGGTTAACAGTTTGCCTCCTGCATACAGACTGAGCTTTAGTCCTGTTTTGGGTGTGGGTGTGTGTGTGTGTGTGTGTGTGTGTGTGTGTGTGTGTGTGTGTGCGTGTGTGCGTGCGTGCGTGCGTGTGTGTGTGTGTGATTGGCAGTTCAGGAGATGTTTGAGGACATGACACTGACTGGCGTCCAGAGAGTTGATGAAAGAGACATGTGCTGTAGAACGGGTGAAAGACAGGCCTAAAGGCAGACAGACGGGAGAGCAGAGAGCGCTGACACGACTGTAGCCTCAGAGAGACTTTGTTGAGTCTCCTTGCTGGAGTCTTTTAAATGCCTTAAAGCTTAGTTTGGCTCCAAATCAGCAACTCATGCACTTTACAACAACTATAGTCAAACTCAGCTCTGACCACAGTAACATTACAGCAAGTACATTTTGCTAATAATACTTGTGTGTATTTTAACTTAAGTAACATTTTCAAGGCAAAACCTTTACTTGCAACAGAAAATTTTCACAGTGCGATATTTCTATATTTACTTGCGTAAAGGATGTGA